TAGCTTTTTGATTAGTTGACTAAGAATAGCGTTTAGAGCTCTAATTGTATTTTTACAAATAACGTGCTTTTTACTACTGTCCCAAGTAGAACAAAGAAGTTGCGATGTGACGCTCTCCAGTGATGAATCTTTTATTAAATTTCAATACATATTTTTATGTAATTAAGACTTTTTAACCAGTTGACTAAGAACAGCGTTTAGAGCTTTAATTGTATTTTTTTTATTTATATTAATGAGCTTTTTACTGCTATCCCAAAGAGATCGTTGCGAAGTTGAAGTGACTTTTGAGTGATGAATAAACGTCATAACATCACTTGGGAGTTTTTATGTTCCTCCTGGGATCACGCGGAGCAACTATTGTTGCTGCTGCTGCTGCTACTACTACTATCAAACCGCTGTTTTACATTGATTAGACGCGCGATGGATTTGTGCAACGCGTTTGTAAAATCAATATGGGATGTTTTTCCACCTACGCAGCGTCGTCCGATATGTTTATATCGGTGGTCGCCGGTAGGTCGGAGTAATCGAGACGACTCGGACGAATGGACGGTCCCCCCGTCCGGCGTTAGTTTCCTGAAATCGTTCGATCGTCCTTTCGGTATCGTTTCCAAGGAAAGCGTCGCAAGAGCCGTCGCGCGTAGAACGGACGACGACGACGACGACGTATTCCCCAAAGCGCTACAAAGCGTACATACGCTACACGGTGATGCGACAAGTCGATCGGAAAAAAAAACGAGAAGTAGGTCTCCCTCGTGCACCGTGCACCTCTCGCACTCGGAACGGCCGACGGCGACGCGCGACACCGCGGCGGGACGAGGACGGAAGGTCGCGCGAGTGCAGCTGGGTGCAGCAGCCGCTACGCTAGCGCGGAGATGGTGGGGGACCAATGGCGGGGTGTTGGGCGCGATCACGTGGCACGGGGTCCATGTCGTTACGTGTACTCGGCCGACCGAGAGGGCGCGACCCTCGGGACCGAGAGGGACGAGGACGGACGATCGGGCAGCCGGGGGAGGGGGAGAGCCGAAGCCGAGCGCGCAAACACGAGGGAGATAGGTTAAGCGAGGGAGACTGCGCTCGGCGTTTGAGAGAGAGAGAGAGAGAGAGAGACGCTCGGTATAGCGCGAGGGGAGGTGGGAGAGGTGACAGCACACGTACGCGCGATATACTCCTTATACTCCGATCTCGCATACTCTCGCGTGCTCCGCGCGTACGTATTCATTGGGTATATATACACACACGGCGCGCGGCACTCGGCAGAACGTACAAACGAGAGAGCGAGAGAGAGAAAGGGAGGAAGGGAGGGAGAAACGGACCAAGCGAGCGCCGTTACGATAAAAGAGAAGTTTTTCGGAGAGCGTATTCGCTGGCAGAGCCGTTCAATGGTCGTGGCAGCAATGTTCCACGCCGCCGTCACCGTCGTCGTCGTCGTCATCGCCGCTGCCGTAGGGCGCCTAACTAGCTAGTTTCGACGGGGGCCAGCGCGACGGGAGGCCGCGTCCGCGTCTTGGTGCTCGCCAGTCCATAAACGAGCACGAGCACGTTACGACGCGCGAGCGCGATTCGGGTATCGTCAGGACTCGTCGTCGTCCGTCGTCGTCGTCGCTATCGCCGCCACCGCCACCGCCACCGCCGTCACCGTCGTTGTGTTGCCGTCACTGCCGCCGCCGCCGCCGCCGCTACTACCGCCGTCATCGTCGCCGTCCTCTCCTCGAAGATGACCATAATAGTATTTCTGATCGACACGTCGGCCTCCATGAATCAGAGGGCTTATTTGGGGGGTCGGCCCACGCTCTTGGACGTAGCCAAGAGCGCCGTGGAGACCTTCGTCAAGGTACGCCCCGAGGTTGGCGGGCACAGCTTTTATCCGCCGCGCCGCACCGCGCCATGCCACGCCGCGCCGCGCCACACCGCGCCGAGCGGAGAGCGGAGTCACCGTCCTCGTCGTCGTGTCAGGCGGGTTACAGAGGGATGGAGGGAGACGGGAAAAGAAGAGGGAAGTATATCCGTCTCTTTCGTCTTCCCTTTCTGCGTTCTCTCCGTCTCTTTCTCGCTCGCTCGCTCGCTCGTGGACGAGGGGGGTGGCGCGACGTCGCGCGCGCGTGAAACAGAAATTAAAGAGAAAAAGTGAAATAATCCCTTTTTCCAGGTACGACAGAGATCGCCGGAGAGCCGCGGGGATCGTTACATGCTCCTGACCTTCGAAGATCCACCTCAGAACATCAAGGTATCGTCCTCGCCACGCGCCTGGTCCTGTCCCCTCCCTCTGTTCATTCGTTTTCTCTTTCGCTCCACCTTCTTTCGCGCGCCTCCTATCCTGCATTTCTACATTGTCTACATTGTGCCCTTCACGTCGTCAAAACTTCAGGCCCATCCTCGCGCGGATGCTCCTCGACAGAAGCGCGTCCGCGTTCTCCCTCCCTCCCTTTCAGCCTCGAGTTGGGTTAGGTTCGCTTAATGGCGCCGAATAATTAATGCACAGTAGCGGGAACGACCGTGTCTCTGCCTCTCTCGCGTGGCCCTCTCCCTCTACTTCTCCATGCCCTTCTTCCCCGCCCTCATCCTCTACCCTGTGCACAGCACACGGCTGCGAAAGATGCGCGTCGTTGGAGGTGCGATACGTTCTCCAAAAATATATACGGAATAAGTCGTCAGAAACAACGCACTCTTTATCTATCAACTTTGAAAAGTAGAATATTTACATCAGAGATTAACACGTTGGACATTTCCTCGAATTATCAAGATTACTGAAATTTTACTTAACAGCGTCGTGCATTTCTATTATTTATGTATTACTGACGCTCGAATGAATTCGACTGTGCATAGTAATGTCAAAAATTCAAGTTACAGTTCTTAATTCTTAAAATCTGCCAGAGATATTTAGAATTGTCTACATTGTGTCCCACATCCCCCCTTTTCTTTGAACCTGATAGTGATAGAAATCTCTGACGAATTCATGCCACATATAAAAATAAAATTGTTTTTGTTTCACAAAAGAGAAAGAATAATTTTATATAAGTTAGAAATTATCTTGGGAGAGCTGTGCGTATAATGTTTTTCGATGCTTTCTCAGGCAGGATGGAAGGAGAACCTGGCAACCTTTATGAACGAACTGAAAAACTTGCAATGCGTTGGCTTGACGACCCTAGGTGCCGCCTTGAAGCACGCGTTGGACGTGCTGAACATAAATCGTATGCAGACCGGCATAGACACGTACGGCCAAGGAAGATGCCCGTTTTACTTGGAACCGTCCGTTATAGTTGTTATAACAGACGGAGGAAAATATACGACCAATAGCGGGGTCCACCAAGATGTAAGTGTTATCTTCCTACCGTGATTTCCTTTTTATTGTAAAAGATGAGAAAGTATTATTCTAAAAAAAAATGAAAGAAAAATGAAAAAGTATTACTTATATGTCTTCGATACAAACGACATTACTATTGCATTTTCTTTCTAGTTTACGTTACCGATGCATTCCCCGATACCCGGATCCGAACTGACGAAGGAGCCATTTAGATGGGACCAGAGATTGTTCTCTTTGGTGCTGCGTTTATCGGGGACACCGGCCGTTGAACGAGATATTGGCTTGGTGGCCAGTGACGCGTCGCCGATAGATGCAATGTGCGAAGTGACTGGAGGTAAAGGAGATGCAGCTTGCAATCTTAGCAATCTTAGAATCGCAAAGTTTTGCATTTTTCAAATGAAAACGCTCGCGACACAAAGCATATATGTTATAAAAGGGTCGAGATAAATTTTAAATTTAAGTTGTTTGTTACTTGGACATTACAGGTCGCTCGTACTGCATTACGTCATTCAGGATGATGATACAGTGCATAGATTCGCTGGTACAAAAAGTGCAATCGGGCGTGGTAATAAATTTTGAAAAGATCGGTCCCGATCCACCGCCGCTGACCAACGAACAGGCCCCGCAGCACCAGGACGAGGAAGAGAACGAGGACGACGGTAACGCGGCGAACGGTCCGCGCGCACAGTATCCGAACGCGTTAGCGCCGAACAACACGGCTTGGTATTCCTGCAGACGCCTGATCTACGTACCGCGCTCGGCTCAGAAGGGATTCGCGGTAGGCTTCTGGCCGATCCCCGAGAGCTTCTGGCCGGATCTCAGCGCCAGCTCGTTACCGCCGCGTTCCGCGCATCCAAACGTCAAGTTCACGTGCACCAGTCAGGAGCCGATGGTGATCGAGAATCTACCGTTCGACAAGTACGAGCTGGAACCGAGCCCGTTGACGCAGTACATCTTAGCGCGGAAACAGCCGACAACGTGTTGGCAGGTGTTCGTTGCTAATTCGTATAAATCGAGCGAAGTGGGCCATCCGTTCGGTTACTTGAAAGCTAGTACAAACTTGACTTGTGTAAATCTCTTCGTCATGCCTTATAACTATCCCGTGCTGCTACCGCTGCTGGAAGAGCTCTTCAAAGTACACAGGCAAAAACCGACACCTGAATGGAGGGCGCAGTTCCAGGGTTACATAAGGACCATGCCTACTTATTACGCCGCCGTAAGTTTTTCTATATTTGTGCCAATATAATTACGTGTTCCGAAAACATTTTTATCAGAGCGTCTTTTGTTGCAGTCGTTGAGGAGAGCGTTAACCAGGATGGGTGCGTCCGCACCTCTGGCACAAACATTGATACCCGATAACATGGATAACTCTTTATCATATAGTGTCTTAAATTATCTAAAACGACTGAAGAATCAGGCCAAGATCGAATTTGATCGGCTCTGTAACGAGGTCATTTCCAAGCAAGTCGCCGCTTCGAACCTTACGAAGAATTTATCTAATTGTACGAGTGTGGTGACGGAAGGGGTGAGAGTTATACCGAAGACACCGCTGAAAAAAGATTTGGTAAATTGAATACATTAAAAGTTGATCTCTGATATCATAAATTACTTTAATTGTTATCAAACTGTATGTGTGCTCCGTAGGTGTCCCATCCTTTGTTGCAAGACAAATTCACGGGTCTCCGTGATCAGCTGAACGAGTTTGGAGGTTTCGTCGTCGGATTGGTGAAGAATCAACAGCAGCAACGTGGTGCGCACAGTTACAGGAACGCCTTCGACGTACCGAGAAAGTCCCTGCTCGATCAAGTCGTGCGGATGCGCGCGAATTTCCTGCAGCCTGGCTTGTTGCATACAAAGTTACTCGACGACGATTACGTTCATTCGATGCCTTTAGCTCAAATGGGAAATTATCAGGAATATCTGAAACGCATGACTCCGCCGTTGAGAGAGATCGAAAGCGTACCGGTTAGGCAGCATATGTTCGGTAATTATTCAGCGAAACGTTTGCCAAAGATTAATTTTTCCTTAAATAATTGGTGTAGAAAAAGATAATTAATGTTACATTTCTATCGTAGGCAATCCCTTCAAGATAGACAAGAGGATGATGGTAGACGAAGCGGATATCGACATAGTCGGCGCGACGTCCTCGACGTCGAAGGGCGGTCTCAAGCGCACCTTGCCGCAGTCGGACAGCGGAGGCTCGTCTTCCCCGAGGCCACCGCCTAACAAGAGGAAGCCCGGGCCCATACCGAAAGACGTGATCGTGCGACGGCCATCGTATACGCTTACTCCACCGAGTTCCCCGATTCCTTGGGTGATGGAGGACACGAAGAACCAAGTAGCTGTTACGGCAGCAGCAACACCAATCGCCGATACGAGCGCACCGCCGATCCTGCCCGGTTTGCCCAACGTATCGCCAGGTCACGCGTCATTGCCGTGTTCGAGCGCGTCCGAAAAGTTGGTGAACGGTCTCGCGGAAATGCCGGTCATACCGATTTTCGAGCCGATCCCGGTCGAGCACGTTAACAATCATATGGACACGCCGCCCGTTCTGACGCCGATAGTTAACAATGTTGACACGGTACCGAAGAGTGATGTTAAAAGTGAACGGACAGATAACGCGAAGAACGAGTGTAGTCGGTTACCGGTTAACGATTGTATCGAGAACAGCGTGCGAGTTGTGGACGGTGTCACCGAAGAGAAACTGACGAATCACGTGGAGGAGAAACGAGATCGAGAGCCGAAGATCGAGAGAGAGCGGAAGCTGACGAAGAAGGAACTGGAGGACATCAGGCGACACAATTTGAGCATCCGGGGACTTGTTTACAAAGAGGTGCGGAGAAGAGGGAAAAGTAAGTCTTCGACGCGCCGATCGGTTCTCTTTTATATCCTGAGAAACGTCGCGAGATTAATGATTAATAAAAGATTGACGTACTTATCTACTATACCGCTAACGATAACATTCTCGTAACAGCGTTAACACGTGATCAATTCATTTCGTTTCAGATTACGCAACACTGTTCTCACACTTACATCAAGTTCAGGGGACTCTAGATATACGGCTTGCGTTTGTAAAAGACATAGTAAAAGAATCATTACGCTTTAAACGACGCAACTTGGCGTCGTTGTTAGAAGAATATCTTAAAAACATTCAAGAGGACGGTTGCGCTATAAATCACAAGCTGAATCACAATGGTGCCACGAAGATAAGTTGTTAAGATATATGTGTAATCAGGGCATTATCTTAATAGTGTGGAGGACATAAATTATGAAGGAACTCTCGTGCAAGTTTTTGTCACATGTTTTAGTAGCGGTTTCGATCTCCTCGAAATAAGGCTACTTTTGATAATCGCAGGAAAAACCTGAGCGATCTTGAATTTTTCAACGAATTTCAATAGCATTTTCGATGTCAACCATAACAGTCACGTCACTTTTATGTTTTACTTTTGGCTTTATGGGTAATTAAATAGGAATTTTGAGTACATCTCGTGGCATTTTGCAGTCATGAATTGAAGCAATAATTTATTTACCACCTCTATTAGTGATGTGAAAGAAAACGGAGCAATATTCAATTACATATATATCAAATTTTATTATATATTTCTTTCTAAAACTTAATTGTTTTAAGTCTTAATCTGAGAAGAGGTCCAAAATCTTTTTCATCTTGGATACTCGAAAAGCGATCCCAAGTAGCACACAATCTTAACATATTTGCGCAACGTACTTTTTATCCTTCACGAATAAATGCGTGTTCGTATATCGTTATACGTGTAAATACGTTCGCATGTTTGTTTCATCTACTATGATGTAATTTTTCATAATGTCGGAATTTTGCCGGATATCATTTGGCGCACATATTGCAAATGTCTTGTATGCTGGCATACAAGATAATTGATTGCGGGTAATGCGAAATAATTATATAAGAATGATAATATATTTACCCTTGAAATATATACGAATCCGTGCACAAAGTTTCGGCAGTGCAAGTGCAATCAAATGAACCACGAAAATTTCTATCTCAGCGACCGTGTCGAATTTAGGACAGAACAATTATATTACTCTTACACTCATACGATTGACATTTCCTATATTTAACCTCCCTGCAATCACTTTCGTGATCTATACTATTAAGTTTAATAAAATGCCATAGTTTAACACTGTACCGAACTGTCTGTAAATTTCGTTATGTACTTTGTTGATCTCTTATAAAAGCAAAACCGAGATCTGACTTTCTATTGATGACGTATTATACAATAATAATCGCGATCTCTGTATATGTATATAAAAATGAAAACATATCTTTTATTATATGTGAGGAGATTGTGAAATCGCACCTTATGAAAGAATTTATTATTGTGTAGTTTACCAAATTAAAATATTGGGAAAACAAATAGAAATCCTTGATTGCAGTAGATTCTCCTTTCGCGAGTTGCAACATTAGCTTTCATTTCGCGAAACCCGTCGTAGATAGCATTATACCAAAAACATTTGTGTATGTCAAAACGCTAAATGCAGATTTGAATTTATTGTGAAGTTTACGAAGGGTTGACAGTGCCTGATGCTATTTGAAATTGAGATAATGTATTCAACCCACTATGTCTAAAAGATTCTAATATATTATTTTATTTTACACATAAATTATATGTATGTATATTTTAGAACTTTAAGTATCATTTTTAATTAGTAATACATTGCACATCATTTTCTGTTATATTATACAAAATTGAAATATCCATGTATGTGATACACACCACACACACACACATACACAGACATACGCGCGAGAAATAAGAAATATAATTCGTAGTTATTAAGAAAATTCCACAATGATCACATACTATAATACTGTAATATTGTAGTTTGAGAGAGAAGAAATAAGAGATCCACTTTATGTACAAATTCAAGACAAATGTATAGTATAACAGAATCAAAACTACATTATATATATATCTGAAATAACACATGGAGCAAAATTAATTCTGTTTTGTCCTCGAATCCTTATGTATATGTGCAACGCAACAAAAATTTAAAATAATGTTATATAAAAAAAAACAATTATTTTATCGATACACATGTGGGTTGAAGAAATGTATGTTAGTAGCAATAATTATTTATATGCCAATACTAGATATACAAAATGACAAGATCGCTTATTGGTTTATATCAGAAATGATTTGACCAAATATTACATAGGATAATAACAGGCAAACAAAGGATGATTATCTTACTTATCCGCCTGTAATTTTTGTATTGTTTATATCGTGGTATATCATCAAGTATTAATTTTTATCTTGACTTCGCTCCTGAAAAACATTGATAAAACGAAGACATATCATTGAATCGTTGTGAAAAGTTATTTTATACGTATAGTCTTTAGAAATGTTTTTTTTTTTATTTATGAAAGAGATGGCGTGGTCTTTCCCCATTTTGAAATGTTTAATTTATTTAATCTTGAAATTCTTGTTGATATTTTATTAATATTCCAAGTGAGATAATCAACCACGTGTTTTCTCGCGGACTAATAATGTCCAATTACTCTTTAGATGTGGATCGGAATTGTATTTATTAATTGAAAATACGTTGAATATCTTGTAAATTATTTTATGATATAACCGGAGCTTAGCTGAGTCTTACAAAGACAATGATGCTAGACGCTTATTTGCTCCAAAGAAAAATGAATAGGGAATTATTGAACGATTATCGATATAAAGAGTTAATATAAAACTAAGTGCGATTGTGTAAAAGAGATTAATGGATTAACTAGAGAATGTATGGGAGTTTCCAGTACCTTGATTACACAGTCCCTTTTCGTTACAGTAGCAGTAATTTATTGTTGTACTGAGACTCGTTAAAATGAATCAATTAGAGGTGATTCCTTTTCGCAAATTCAATGAATCCAGTGTGCTTCACCAAAGCAAGATCATATTTCTGCACGCTGTTGTGACAGCTTTAATAATTTACTTATATGCAGTTTAATTTTGTGCAAATATTTTGTACAAATATTTCAGCAATAAATCTGCGATATACGATCCGAAACAACCAAATCTGTCGATAGTGAATTTTGTAAGGCGTTTGCTACAAACTCCGTCAGCGTCAGCGTCGAGAAATTACAAAATCAATGCGTCATGTTCAACGATATGTGAGAGACTGGCTACTGTTCTGTATAATTCATGCGCAGTTATGTCACGTCTATTAGACCTGGCCAACAAAAAAAGTAATTTGGACGCGGTTCCATGCTAACTCCGTTACAATATGCTAATCGAATTACTGATAATGACGCAATGGATTTGTTGCCTGGTACTTTACATAGATATATGAAAATAAAATTCATGCTGAACATGGTCTCCCATCGGAACTTGCAAAAACGTTGCACGACTGAAAAAAAAAAATAAGAAAAAACAAATATGATAATTTCTTTCGCACAGATCAGATATTTTGTATTTTGCATGACGGCATGGAGAGTGGAAATGAAGTCTGTATTATACGCCTCGTTTAATTAACGTATCATTTAGGGTGTTAATAAATGTTGCAATTACTATTTTTTTCACGACACCTGTAACACGTACAGTGACGACGACGACGACGACGACACGTGCATTATTGTATATACGAAATATTGTACATAGGGCGTGTATTAGTGTGTTAATTAGACGAGAGTCATATTGAAAGGACTGTCCTGTTTTTACGTTTATATTTTAGGTAAAACAATAAGTAAATCTCGAGAGAAGGGAATAAACAGAATTGACAGAAATTTCTTCGTCGTGTACTTTCTTTAATTCCCAAAGCAAACGAGATCTCATAGTGTCCAAATACTGTGCAAATAAGGTTTGTCCTTTGTAGTTCAGCTTTTTGATGTATATACATTTCGCCTCCTTTCTCCTTTCCTCTCTCCTTTTCTCTCTCTTTAATTGTTTGTGTAGAAAATATAACGCGGTGCAGGCCAGACCACTCTGCGTCGATTGGTTGGTTCTAAAAGTAAGAGCCAATCATGTTCGACCGCTACTGAGCGGCTTGGTTTGCTGAACGCGACCAATGTGGGGAGCAACATCCGCGCGGCACGGCGCGCTCGGAATACTGCCACCTCCTCGCTTATCATGCTTTGCTGATACATTAGGAGTA